TAGTTCTGCTAAATATTATAATAATTTATTTAATTTTCTATTAAAGGGGAAAATAATCCATATCTCACAGGGTTCTATAAGGATAAATTGAGTAGTATATGGGGAAGGACTTAAACGTTGCTGATATGGTTTGACTGTGTCCCCACTCAAATCTCACCCTGAATTGTAATAATCCCCATGTGTTAAGGATGGGGCAAGGTGGAGATAATTGAATCATGGGGGCAGTTTCCCCCATACTGTTCTTGTGGTAGTGAGTAAGTCTCACTAGAGCTGATTGTTTTATAAAGGGCAGTTCCCGTCAACATGCGCTCTTGCCTGTCACCATGTAAGACATGCCTTTGCTCCTCATTTGCCTCCTGCCATGATTGTGAGGCCTCTCCAGCCATGTGGAACTGTGAGTCCATTAAACCTCTTTCCTTTATAAATTACTCAGTCCTGGGTATGTCTTTATTAGCAGCATGAAAACAAACTAATACAGTTGCCTAAGACACATGCCCAAAGGATAACTCAAAAAATATTTTTCTTGTTACTCTTCTGTGGTAGACAGAATAATGGCTCCTACAGAGGTTTGTGTTCTAATTTCCAAAACCTGTCAATATGTTACCTTACATGGCAAAAAGGGACTTTACAGATGTGATTAAATCAAGAACCATGAGACAGGGAGATAATCTGGATTATCCGGGTGGATCCAATGCAGTCGCAAGGGTCCTTAATAAGAGGAAGGAAGGAGGGCCAGAGTCAGAAAAATTCTGCATAATGACAATGAGGAGAGAAGCAGAGTCAGAGAGAGAAGATGCTATGTGAGTTACTTAGAAGATGGAGGAAGAGGTTATGAGCCCAAGGATGCAGGTGGCTTCTAGAAAAGGCAAACGAATAGCATCTCTTCTATATCCTTTCTGTTTACACCTTGACTTTAGCCTCCTAAGACTCAGTTTTGGATTTCTGACCACCAGAATTGTAGGATAATAAACCTTTGTTGCTTTAAACCACTAGATTTGTGGTGACGTGTTACGTTAGCAACAGAAAACTGACCTATACCTCCCTGTCCATGTTCTAGAACTTCTAGGGTAGTTTCTCAATTCTTTACCTTTAGGTATCTTCTCTGCCTGTGAGACCATTACCAATGGAAAAGGGTTTTCCCATTGCTTTTTAGGCCAGAGAAAGAGAGAGAGAGAGAAGAAAAGAGCAAGAAAAAGAGGAAGCAAGCCAGGTAGAGCAGTGAATACTGTAACATAAGTGTGAGACATTTTGTGGGGGCGGAGAGGGAAGGCATACTGGAGAAGCTTTAGTGCTGCTAGTCAGAAAGATGAATTTTGGTACAAATAGCGACTCCAGTGTTAAGGGTAATCAAGTCTTAAGTTGTATAAAGAATATCCAACGTCGCTTTAATAAAAGAACCAGGGAAATAAAATATCTGTGTTCTTACCCTTCTGGGAAAAATGATGGTAGAAAGAACCATTCAGTCATTTCCAAGAAGTCACAGGCAGTCTTCCAGTAAGGAGGTAGAGGCTATACTGTTGTTTTCCAGACGAGTGCTATCAGTGTTGAATGCCACTGAATTCTGAAGTTGCACTCTTAATCTTTCAATATATTTTTTGTTCTGGGAGGAATAATCCCATTGTGCCTCAAGGCAGGGAGTTAAGATACATTTAGGAAATGCTGGTAAAAATAAAGTAAGCCCTTCAAAAGATCAATGAGAAACCCATGGCTCAAGGCCTTGTTGTTTCACCAGCCTCAGTATAGGACAATTAGTCCTATATCCACTGTACTGGGGGGCAACATTTACATGCCCCTCTGTCATGCAGAGCCTAGACTTGCATAGAATTAGAATGGGTCCCAGCCTCCATACCTCCTTCTATTTCTCGAGAAAATATCATGTATCTGCCATCTCCTTGCTGAATGATTTCATGTAGGGCTTGATTTTGCTTTCTCTTCAGAAGTAATTATCTAGGAAAAAAGGTCATAGCTCATTGCAGCTTTGAACTCCTAAGATGAAGTGATCCTCTTGCCTCAGTGTCTCAAGCAGCTGGGACTACAGGTGTGCATTACCAGGCCTAGCTAATTTTTAGATTTTTTTGTAGAGACGTGGTCTCTCTGTGTTGCCCAGGCTGGGTACCCTCTTCTGAAAAGCAGCTTTTCATATAGAAATTAGAAAACCTATGCCCTGTGTAGGGACACAGATAACTGAACAGAAACATGTTTGAAGAACCTAGAAAAAAGGAAGTTGGAGTAACGGAAGCCAAAATCTTTCTTCTTTGTATGCAGCTTAAAATAGAAGTATATTGATAAAAATGAAGGTATTACAGGAGATTTTGTTTTTAGAGCCAAAAGCTAAGCCAACTTCTTTTTCTTTTTTCACTTCTCTGCTGAATCGCTGTCCTGTCCTCCAAAGAGGACTCTGCCTTTGCCATTGCGCGTTTACCTTGCTCTTTTAGCCTCCAAGATATAACCACCAGAGTTACAGTAGACGTTCTTTATTCCTCTTAAGAGATGCATTTTTGCACCTGAACTTTGTAGCTGAACTTCTCTCTCTGGTCTGTCTGATTCTCAGGGCTGACATTTTATATTTTTTTAATAGTTTGGAAAACTTTTGCTGTATTTGGCTATATACATTTAAAGAAAACAAAAGACATCTCATTTTTCATTGTTTGATCTCTAAATCTACCACTGCTGTCCTGTATCAGTTAGCTATTGCTGTGTAACAAGCCAATCAAATTTCAGTGGATTATAGATCCAAAAGTATCCTTTATTGCTTATGAGTCTCCAGATTAGCTAAGCAGTTGTCACAGCTGGGCTCAGGCACATAGCTGCAGTTAGCTGTGGGTGTGGCAAATGTGGCTCTGATGACCTCGGCTGGTCCTTCTCACATCCTACAGAATCAACTGGCTGCAAACAAGTCTAGGATGGCCTCAGCTGTGATAACTGGGATCTCTTCATATGGTGTCTCACTCCCATAGGCTAACCTGGGTTTGTTCACAGGACAGTGATGGAGTTCTGAAAGATCATGGAAACTCACACAGCCACTGAGGTCTGCCTTAGATTCAGCACATGGTTACTTTCATTGCACTCATTGCATTCTATTGGCCAAAATAAGTCCAAAGGTCAACTGAAGGCAGAGAAACAGTCTCCATCTGTTAAAGGGAGGAACTGCAAATGGAGGGAGAGAGAAGGTACAAGGAATATTTTTTTAAATTAACGAACACATTTCTCTGTGTGGAAAAGCTAGAGCCTGCCTTACTATTACTTTAACAAAGAAAACCATCCTAAACTGGCTTCTGGTTTTAAATACTGCATTTGGTTCAATGGTTTTAACAAACCAGATGTCAATCTTTGAAAACATAGTCTACCACTTAATTCTTTCTGTTTAGATCTTCCCACAGATATGGAACATCTGCCCCTGAATAGACAAAATAATAAAGAAAAGTGGTATGTGGAGTCTGAGACTTCAGTTCATCAGAATATACCTTTGCTTCTGCAGTGCCTTTTAATTAAAACAGATTGAAAAACAACAAAAGCCTAGCAAACAAAACCTCTAATTCTTCTTCAAATTAGTAAAGAAATATACTCCTTGCTTGGTTTCAACAACAAGCTTTCTACTAACATTACTCGTTTTCACACTTCTTGCATCTAGAGTCTATTCTGGATGGGAGAGTTTTATTATCTCATGTATACATTTAATTAAGCTGCTTTAATTAATAAGGCAAGACAGTTTTGCCTAAAGAACCCTGGATGATTTTTTCCATCAAGGCCAAGAAAAGTTGATTAGCACCTAGAATATCCATTCTCTGGAACTCAACAATGTCTTCAGGTTTTAGACTGAAACTAACATTGCTCCTTTTGAATAAGTGTGAATTTTCTTCTCAGAGACCTCAGGTGTGCACTTTTCATTGGCTATTTGAGTGTCTTCTCCTAATAAAGACATCAGACTGGTCTGTCAGTCACCAGTTTTTCTCCCTAGCCTCTACAGGCTTTTTGTAGCTTGCAGTGTAATTTTTCACATGAACAATTTCTAAAGGAGCAAACAATTCTGCATAACACTTGTACATTCATTTCTCCAGAAACTTGCCATTTATCTTTCCGGAGAAAATCTGCTTCTTTCAGTGCGGTCCCATATAGGTTGCAGAGCACAAAAAATTGTATGTAAAAATGAGATAAAAATCTCACCTAAGTGATCTATATATATATATGTGTGTGTGTGTGTGTGTGTGTGTATGTGTATAGTTCAGAAAGCTACTCTTTTTTCTTTCTGCCTTCCATATTTTCTTTAAATACCTTTAGTTACTGAAGTCATATTTTCAAATATTTATGCAAAAACAAGCTGCTGGAAAAGCCTTAATTTAATTACAATGCTTTTTTTTTTGGATGTAATTTCACTTTGTTGCCCAGGCTGGAGTGCAGTGGCATGATCTCGGCTCACTGCAACCTCTGCTGCCCAGCTGCAAGCAATTCTCCAGCCTCAGCCTCCCAAGTAGCTGGGATTACAGGCACCTGCCACCATACACAGCTAATTTTTGTGGTTTTAATAGAGTTGGGGTTTCGCCATCTTGGCCAGGTTGGTCTCGAACTCCTGACCTTGTGATCCACCTGCCTCGGCCTCTCAATACAATGCATTCTTAATAACTTGTAAAGGGCCACTGGCACCTCTAGGCTTTTCATTAGTGTCAATTAATTATGAATACACTTGACAGAAAGATTCAGTTAACCAATGGGGATATTTTTGATAAAGGCTTTTAATCATACAGAAGCTCACCTCTAATGTGCCGTAAGTGGTAAAGGGGGTCTTCTCTTAAAAGGCAGTAATCCTTTGCTGTGGAGGCTCACAATAAAAACAGTTACATCCCAGCACTTTGGGAGGCCGAGACGGGCGGATCACGAGGTCAGGAGATTGAGACCATCCTGGCTAACCCGGTGAAACCCCGTCTCTACTAAAAAATACAAAAAACTAGCCGGGCGAGGTGGTGGGCGGCTGAGATCCGACCACTGCGCTCCAGCCTGGGCGATAGAGTGAGACTCCATCTCAAAAAGAAAAAAAAAAAAAAAAGAAAGACAGTTACAATATATATAGGGCTCCTCCCACTTCTCAGACTCATTGTCCAAAACTTTAATTTTTCAAGAGATAAATCACTGAAGTTATTCCAGCCAGAGGCATACACATTCTTCAATTTAGCCTCTATCTCGAATCCCTGCTTGATTTTCTGTCCTGGAGAAGCAAGTCTGAACAATCTCCATTTCCTTTTGTTGAGCTGCTACCTAGCAAAATTCATGTAGCATTGTTTGTGGTTGGTGTGACTTACTGCCCTAGTATTAAGTATCTTTGTTGTTATTATTGTCAAATATTTTTGAGCTCTTCATACATGCTGGGAAGGCTTTGCTTTAGGGTGAGATGTTGAGAAACCAGTCCCAAGTGGAGGGCAAGAAGTCTATCATATCTTTCTATTTCTGCCAAATGCTTCTTTTCATTGCTTTGGGAAAAGCTGTATGTTACTATGGTTATTTTTATTATATTGGCAGGAGGTGTAAAAGCTTAGCTGTCTGCAGTTCTGCATGTGATGCTGGGACACGTAGGAGAACAACTCTTCGGGGTACGGCTTTTCTTCCAATTCCGTTCATCCTCCCTACGACCAGACTTTTCCAGGCTGCTGCTGGGCAGGCCAGCTGCTTCCATTGCAATCCCATCTCAGGAATTCTGGGCAGTCAACTTTCTACATTTTGCTTTGCCAACATTACTCCACCTGCTTTCTTTCAGACCACTTTGTTTAACTTTCTCCCTCTGCTGATGCCTTCACCAATCCCCCAACACACACTCTGCGATTGTGGATTTACTTGTTGTTTTCCTATTTTTCTGAAATTTTAAGTGAGTCTCAAAAGAGAGAGGATAGGGTTGCCCTATTTACCAGGTAAATAGAGGACACCCAGTTATATTTTAATTTCAGATACAGAACAATATTTTGTAAGTATAAGTATGTCCCACGAAGTATTTGGGGTATGCTAATATTGAAAAAAATTAAAATAAAAATCTTATTGTTTATCTGACAATCCTAAGAGGTGAACCTCACTTACTGGCACATTCAGGCTTCTGTCTTTAAGTTGAACCTTCTTCCAGATTTATGATGCTTCCTTACATTTTTATAACAGTTCCAAACACCAAGAATATATGAGAGTAGGTTCAAGGTAATTTCTACTTTCTCATAATCTTCATTTCATTGGTAGCTTTTCAGTTATATTCTTTATCACCTTTTTAGAGTAAAATATAACATGTGGTTGTTCTAAATGACCTTTCTTCAGCCTTTTTCTGAGACTGTAATAACCTCAAGGCTAAAATCCAAGAACTCATAGAACTGTATTTATTAACGTTTATACAGAACCCGTTTTGAAGTTCAGGCTCAGTAGAAACAATCCTTTCAGAGTTGAGATAATTTTTCCAGAGGGATAAAACATGGACGTCATTTCTTTTTCACTTATCTTAATTACTCTGTATCATTTTCATTGTAGCTCATGATGACTTCTTCACTAGAGCAAGCAGAAAGAGAGCACAGTTATATATGCAGATGGCCTGGCTTTATTGTCATGAAATAGAACAGATTTAGTTGAAAACTAGCCATGTTATTTAATTGCTAACAAGAAAAAATAAAATACAATCAAATATTCTAAATAAAGCTTCATCATTTTGGGTGTTCCACCTTACTTATCCAACTTGCACGCCCAACTGTCTTAAACAATGAAAGCTTTCCTCTATCTTTGAATTATTTTTTTAAACATTTTAATTCACAAGGACACCTTAAATTTCATTGCCTACTGTTTGAAAGGCTCTGGTTGTTAATGAGTTTCGCTTTCGTTTGTTTTATTGTTGTTGCTACTGTTTTTAATAATGTAAGGTCGTCATCATTTGAGGTAAAAGACCAGACTCAACACTGGAGGTGGGGCTTTCACACGGAACCAAATGGAAAACTAGTTTACACGGGGCCAAGGCTAAAGCAGCTTTCCATGGACACACCCACCAGGGTGCCATGCCAGTTTACCATTGCCATGGCAACACTTGGAAGTTACTGTCCCTTTCCATGGCAACAACATGACAATCCAGAAGTTACCACCCTTTCCCTAGAAATTTCTGCATAAACCACCTCTTAATTTGCATATAAATAAAAGTGAGTATAAACATGACTGCTGAAGTGCCTCTGAGCTGCTTTTCTGGCACACTGCCTATAGGGTAGTCCTGGTTGTAAGGAGCAGTTCCTCTGCTGCTGTATACTGCTGCTTCAATAAAAATTGCTGTTTAGCCCATCTGTTTAACACCACCGACTTACCCTTGAATTCTTTCCTGGGCAAAGCCAAGAACCCTCCCTAGCTAAGCCCCAGTTTGGGGGCTTGCCTGTCCTGCATCACAGTGACTTTTCTGGAGTTACGTTGTTGCCACGGCGCTACAGTGATGAGAGTTGAGGTCTTGATTGGTCACTAGTTTGCTTGTTAAAGTGCAGCTGGAATGCGTTCTGGGTGATGACTTGGACTCTGTTTTCGGGTTCCTAGGATTCCTGCTTGTAGGATCAGGGTGACTTCTGATTAAGCATCTGTTTGCATCACATTCCTCGCCACTCAGGAGAGGTCAGTATGGGATAGCTGCATTTTTGGTTCTTATATCAGAATAGGATCTAAAACTTGCCATCAGTGTTTTGCCAAAGCTGAAGCAAGAGAAACACTGTGGATGGACAAATACCAGGCAGATATGTCTATTCCTTTATGCTTTAAAACTCAACCTGTTGTGTAAGCCAGAACAGAAAGGAACTCAGAACTCATCTGGGCCATTTTATGTTACCCACCTGAAATTGCTATCCCCATCTCCATGACACGTTTTTCTCATGCAAATAACTTCCAAAGAAATAGAGTTACACAAATCATGTCTTTCTTTACCACCAGAGTGATGTTGAGGATGCGGCACACTTCATTAGCAGTTGTCTTCTGTTCATAAGGACCCAGAAATTTTTCTCCAATCCTAATACCAAGAATAAGTATGTTTCTTCTTGGAAGTCTATTTTTTTTCTGTCTTCTGAACACTGTGAATTGTACAACATGATTACATCTCTTCAGTGATTGCTGGAAAGCTCAGAACAAAGTGTATAGATTTTGAGCCAAATTTAGCTTAGAGCTAAAATCATTTTTAGCATTAGGTATGGAACTCAAAGCACCATTTGTGTGTGTGTGTGTGTGTGCGCGCGCGTGCACTAATCTCATCTCTGGCTATACTTTTTCTCTATTTTATTCTAATCTCACCTATTTTAATGCCTTTTATTTTCTAGGTATCAAGACTAAAGACAAATAGAAACATTTTTAAAATATGAGCAATCAATAAAGAAAAATTTAAATTAAAAAGGTTAAAATATCAATAACAGAAAAAATTCAATTTTGCATCTCTCTTGCTTTACATATGTGTGTGCCTGTGTATACATACATATATACATAAATTAAAATTAAATTTTCTTGTATGTATTTTTATAAAGTATTTTTTCAAACTTAAAAATCAATCACTTTTTTTCACATAGAACTACATGGCATTCCATTTTATAAATGTGTTATAATTTATTTAAAGAGCCTCTTACATTGTCAGACATTTGAGTATTTTCCAGATTTTTGATGTTATAAATAACTGTGTCACACTCTCTTTATAACAACTCTTTATGCACTTTATTCATGAATATAGTTCAATAATTCTTAAGCATGGTTGTGCATCAAAATTATTCTGCCTAATAACCTCTTTAAATCCTTTGAGACCAAATTTAAATTTTACCTTTTCTAGAAAGAATTTCTAAGGAAGCCTGTCATCTATCCTACAGAGAATTATTATACTTTCTAATATTTCCCCATAGACTTTTTATATATTTTTGAGGGATGTTAAGCTATTTTTAATGTCTCTATTTCAATAACCAAGTATTGCATTAAAAGTGGTTTTTAACCAAGAATGTGCATCAAAATGCTACAGTTGTGAAATACTCTCTGAGTTCTGCTTCCCCTAAGGATGCAGAAAACCTGAAGAGAATGGAGCTCCTGATCTGACATAAGAAAAAGCTGGATCACTTACAAAATAATGCCTATTTTATTTTTAGATTACCAGATTAGTGAGGTCCATCCCATGGCAACAAAATGAATGAAATTCCAAAGAGTGGCACCATTCCGAGGGAATACGGACACATGACCTGCTTTACCTTTTCAAGGGCACAGTAGGAAGAGGGGACCACATCGAAACCAGTAAGAAGCAATCAGCTAAAATTTTAAGACATTCCTAAAGGCCAAGAGTGGGCTAGAGTCTCCCTTTGGTGTAGCTGGGAGCGGCAGGCACAAGGGGAGTTAGTATCTACTTGCAAGCTCTTATCAAGGGCTTCCACCCAGTGCTCAAGACTGGGATAAGGCAGAAGAGACCTCCTTTGGTAGCACAGGCATACAGGAGGTGATTGGCTGCCACTGGAGGAGACAGGAAACACTGCTTGCTCCTCTAGACCCTTCTTTTGTAGGAAAAGACATGAAACACTCCTGTTCCCATGGCTGAAGGAAAGATCCACTGCTTTTGTGCAAGGAGGAGAAGTAAAAATTGCTAGAAGGCAGGAAACCCTCATAGGACCGTGATCCTACAAGGAATACTAAGCAGAATTCTGCTACCTCTGAGGAAGGGACAGAAAAGTTTCTCTTTCCCCATACCTACCATAGATATAAGAAAGAATTTGGCTGCCATGGAGAGGAGGAGCAAGAACGATTTTTTAAAAACATACATCCAAGACCCGGGTGCATAAGGTGGACTGGGAAAATCAAGAATTACCCTGTTTCCACTGCAAGGCTAGCTCCAGATCACAATATGTGGTCTATCATTTGAGAAAAGAGGCAAGAGCATGGAGACAGACCCTGTGTTCTGCAAGCATGCAGGAACTTCTGAAAGCTCAGAGAGAAAAGGAACCCTGAGAAAAACCCTCCAGCACACTGGGTCCTAATTTAAGTAGGCGGCAACCGCATCCCACTGCAAGAGGACTATGAAGTCTGTGATGCACTGAAGGCAATGATGGCAATGAGAAATTGAAACCCCTCTCACTCCTGAATAGACGGACTCAAACTCCCCTCCCCATCCATCCCCACCCCCACACACATGCATGCATGCATACATGCACATACATGCACAAGCATAAACCTCAAGGTGACTGAAAGACATACACTCATGCCTTTTCCTAGGCATAAATACTATTTGCCTCAGTCTCTACCGATATTCTACACATAAAATTTGGTACTGGATAAAAGATTAGAACACACACACACACACAGATACAAAAAATCAGACTCGGAGATATTGAAACTATCAGATGGTAACTTTAATAACTGAAATGTTAAGGGATCTAGTAGAAAAGTAGACAAAATGCACAGACCCTGGAGAATTTCAGCACAGAGATAACAGTCACATGAAAATGCTAGAAACAAAATACATAGTATCCAAGATGAATCTCTTTGATGGGTTATTCTGCCAATTGGATAGCACTGAAGGGGGAATAAGTAAATTTGAAGATAGAGCAATAGAAATTAATCAAACTGAAACACAATAAGAAAAAGAGAAACAAACAGAAAGAGAAGACAGGGATATTAGAATATGAGATTTCAAAAATATTAAAGAAATAATGGCCAAAATTTTTCCAAAATTAAAGACAACAAGCCACCAATCCACGAATTTTAAAGCAAATTAATCAGGATGAATACTAAACAAATCAAACTTAGATACTTCACTCCTAAGCTTCTGGAAACCAAAGATGAAGAGTCAATCTTGAAGTCATCAGAGTAAAAGAAACTACATAAAGGGAAACAGGGATACTAATTAATTCCTATTTCTCTTTGGAAACAATGTGTATTTGTTTCCTAGGGCTGCCTTAACAAGTTCCTGCACACTGTGTAACTTAAAATAAGAGAACTTTATTTTTTTACAGTTCTGGAGACGAAAAGTCTGAAATCCAAGTGCCAGCAGGGCCATGCTGGCTTCCTGGGAAGGCTGTAGAAAGGAACCCTTCTTTGCTGCTCCCAGCTTCAAGTGGTTGCTACACTCCTTGGCTTATAGCTGCATCACTCCAGTTTCTGCCCCTGGCTTCACATGACTTCTTCCCTCTGTGTGTGCTTGTGTTTCTCCAAATCTCCCTCCCCTTATAAAGACACTGGTAATTGGATTACCACTCACCTGATCAGGTATGACCTCATTTTAACTGGTTTACATCGGCAAAGGTTAAGTGCTAGGTTTAGTTCTTCTGCATATCTTTTCGGGGGACACAGTTCAACCGACAACAGATGTCCAAGAAGAATTAAATGAGTTTGTAATCGACATTTAGATATTGGGGGAATTAATTTGTTAAATGCTTAAATTTTGTTTAATTGGTTATGTAGGTATGATGTGACTAACAGAATGTAGTTGGTTTCACGTAGAAAAACAATTTCCTTGTTTAATGCAAGATACATAAATATTCATTACACCAAATAAAACCAAATGAAATGTATGCTAGACATCTGTGAATAAACCAATGAAAGAAGGAAAGACTATTGGAAAAAAAATCACCCATTGTTGTAATTTTGAATACAAATGTTTGAAGCCAATCAATCCCAACGTTTAGAACACTTATATTCTATTTTTGTCTTATTATCATTTCATTGAATCATATTTGGAACTTTAAATTTTCAGTTTGGATGATTATTCTTTTTTTTCCGTTTTGATATACTGTTTGAAAAGTGTGTGTGTGTGTGTGTGTGTGTGTGTGTCTGCACACACACCTCTGTTAGTTGTGTGAGAAATGACTTTAAGGTTGAACTGTCGGTATATAAAGCATACATTGGTGAATCGATTCTTGTTTCTGGGCTTATGAGTAGCTACTGTGACATTTGAAAAATGACCTTAATGAGAGTTTTTCTTTTCTATGCCCTATAGTTGTATGTGACACCACAGCCCAAGGTGACGGTGTCTTCACTTCAATGCCATCTTTTGTCCCAGAGGCAATTTTTGCTTTAGTTACCCCAACTGACATTGGAATAGACCCAGTGATGTTTTATTCATGAAAGTAGATCTTGTGACTATAGCTCCCAATACACCAGAGAGACAAAAATATCGCTAAGATTGCACCTAAACTAATCTGTAGTTATGTAACAAATTGACACATAAATTAAATTTTCACTGCTAATGCCTGCTTAACTCTGTAATCATACTTCAGTTTGGAATTCTGCTGAAGTAATTAGGTTAGCTCAGATTTGCTCACCAAAGATCACTGAAAGCTAGAAAGTATATGGACCTCTGTTCTTAAGCTACATGCTTCATGCCCGGGGGAGATTTTAAAGCTGTATCCATAACTCTATGCCTATTCTTTTACATTTTACTGAATTTGATCAGCTGCTGGATACTGTTTTGTTTTTTGTTTTTTGTTTTTTTCTTGAGAATGTATTTATCCCACTGTGGACATGTCCCTGTCTCTAATTCCCCGGCACTTTTCATTTGCTCTTTATTGAGGAATCATCCTTGTGCTGAAGAACTTTCTGTTTTTCATATGGTTGATCTTTAGGTGGTGGGGGAGCCCTCACTGAAACATGGTTTAAAAAAAATCACACGCTTTCATCTTTGGTTTCATCTTCTGGAAGAAAGAAGAATTGAGCTATTTTACCAACTATGGTGAACTGTTCAAATTTCCTCTGGGGAGAAAAACCAGTTGCTTTCAAAGCTCTGAGGAGTATCAAAAAAAAATGCTCCTAGGCTAAATACAGTAAATAAAAGGCAATGTGGACTTTCAAAAGACTGCTCCAGGGGCCTACGAGAAACTTTTAGCTGGTGTGAGAATCACTGAAACAGAAACCTGTGGGGAAAAAAACCCAAAAAGCAAAAACCAGATGAAATCAGAAAGAGTATGTATAAATTTAGCCTAAGTGCAGGGATACCTACATTCATGGTCCTGATGAAATAAAGCACTGAAAGAAAATATGCACAATCTCTTTCCAGAGTTTGTGACCTTGCAAGTTAAAAATAGGATTTACCGACTTATGCATTAGGTTTATTAATATGGACTTGTTCTTACATTTGCTCTTTAATCGGTCTTTACAGGTCATTATTTTTTACAACAGGCTACTACCTTATCTTCTGCATTCTGGATTCACCACTTTAAATCTATTTTGTGAGCAGGCTCTCTCTCTCTCTCTCTCTCTCTCTCTCTCTGTCACACATACACACAAATAAAAAATAACTGAACATACTGTTTAGGCCCAGAGGGGGACTTCGATCATCACCTTCTAAGAGTTGTACTCGTGTCGACTTTGTCCTCGTTGGATCGGGTTTGTTCTGTGTAACCAGCAGTGTGTAACAGAAGTGATGGTGTGCTCATGAGATTAGATAATAAAAGACTGTTGTTTCCTTCCTGGGTGTACTCTTGTTCCCTCCCTCCTTCCCCACCTCCATCTCTCTGTCACTGCTTCCTCTGGGGGATGTCAGCTACTACCTAGTGAAGACACTCAGATAGCTTCCTATCAAGTCACAGAGGTCTCTCCACAACCATCTGAGAGAGCTTGGAAGCAGACCTTTCAACCCCAGACAAGCTTTGCAATGAGACAGCAACCCCAGCTTCTGGCTTGGTTACAGCCTAAGATGCCCTGAGCCAGAACCATCCAGCTAAGGCCCTCGCAGATTCCCCACCCACAAAAATGCTGAGATGACACATAAGTATTGCTTTAAGCAGCTCAGTTTGGGAGAATTTATAATATATAACTAACATGGATTTCTTTAAAAAAAAAAAACTAAAAACCTATTTTCAACTTCCTTAACATTAAAATTCTCTCCCTACTCTCATGCTCGTTCACATTTTTGTCTTACCCAGTCTGTCTAGTCTGCTTTATTATTCACCCCAGATGAGTTCTATATACTTGCCTAGCCGGAATACTTTTTTTTTTTCATCTGCTTGTGCCTTCATCTCCCTTAATTTTATTCATATTCTTCCTTCTAGGCAAAAGTACCTATTCCTTTCATTTTACCATACTACTTAAATCATGTCTATTCATTAAATCAACATACTTCTTGAATTCTTCCAGAAGGAACCTAGAGCACTCTAACCACTTTCTTGTCTCACTCCATGGCAGTTAAAAATTACAGTACATAGTTAGCCTTTCAGACCATATTTTATACTAGTCATTAAAAATTCCTCAGAGGCAATTCTATAATACTTGTTGGTTGGCTGCATGCTTAACTTAATCAGAACAAGGAAAGCGCAATTCTTGTTTCCATTAAAATTAAAGTACACATATAGGAATACATATATGCATACATACATACATACACATATATACATATGATAATAGTCTTTATCATAAAATGTTTTCACTGTAGTTTGCAATAAATAATTTTGAGCTTCTACACCACACAATGCAATCCTTCAATTCAGGAATTTTTGTACTCAATCTTGCATTTCCTCAGTCTAACACAGTGTCTGTCATAGACAAGTTATTCAATAGTCTTACTGAACTGGACTGATTTGATTTTTATAGTCATTTCTCTTCCTATCTGTGCATTAGTGAAGGTTGATAATCATGTCAAATGACTGAAAGAAATGAAGTACATTAGGAGTGCACTTAATCTACAAATTGGATCATCAATACCTACAGAAAGGAGAGTAAAATATGCTCTATGCTAATATACCTGCCATTGGTTTTCCAAGGACAACTGATTCATTTCACACATACCCTGGAGGTATGTGAGGCAATCCTGTGCCTACCCTTTGACAAATAAAGAACATCAGGTGTTAAGTTGCATAATGATATTCACAAAACATCCATTGCCAATACCTGAAAGAATCAAAATAAAACTCATTCTTCCAGGTGTGTTACTTCTTTCCTATGTTTCTGCTTCTACTAGAAACATGATTGGTGATATTCTTTTAGTTGCTTTTAAAATTATTACTGTGATATTCAAGGCCTTTCAGGTATGGATTCTTACCTACCATCCCAGGTTTAGCTCTCTAGTGACACTAGACCACTTTAGGTTTCATTACGTGCCTTACTGATAGGATGGCCAGCATTAGCAAACAAATTCTGGCAATTTGAAAACCCAGTTAAATTTAAATTTTAAATAAACCTAGGAAAATAAAAAATGATAATGCATTGACAATGATTGTCTTGGAACAAATAAAAGCTTTCCATTCTTTATATTGTCATGGAACAGGTATTTTTTGGAGAACTTAGAAATAAGAGAATATTATTGTCCTCCAAGAATCAACAAGTAAAATCAACACAGAGTAGGAAAATTTGGTTGATTATGAAATACCAACAATAAATATTGAATGCAGGACCTGATAAAGAGTTTTCTATAATATTGTAGTAATGTAATCTGCATTAGCTCAGTAAAATATTTGATTAGCTGGAAAACTCCTCACTGGTTCACTGTGACAGAGCAGCTTTCACCTTTATTTGTTGCTCACCAAGAGTTAGTTGCACTTTTATCTACCAACCTATTTATTATACTAATATAAGTTAGCTAAACATCATGCAATCCAGTGAAACTTGAGAATGAGAATTATTTCTATGAAAACTAAAATAAATGTTTCAAAACTCTTTATAAAGGGGAGTTGCAAAGAAACACTGATGAATTGGATGTGGGATTCAAAATGGAAACTGTAAAAATTTGAGAAAACAACAGCATCAACATAAAATTTCTCAATCATTTTATATGCAGGTTGCTTTAAATGTGCATGAATTTTTTATTCACTTTAAAAAAGCCAAAACTAGAAATAATTGGGTGAATGAATGCATCTTTCCAGGTATGGAGTTTAAAAAAATGTTTACAGTAAATACATATTATTTTATGCTATCATTTTAATTCAATATTTTAAATCAGTGACAAACTACTGGCCCCTTTCACATCAAATGCAATATATAAAAGTTAAAATATTTATTAATATGTTAAATATATTCAAGAACATTAATGTTGCCTAAAGAAAAAAATAAACAATATGAACAGAAGATCCTCAATGTTCATGGCAGAAGAAATTTTAATTTAATATACTTTGATTATTTTCATTGGCAAGTTTATCCTTCTATGAAAATCAGTCTTTAAACTTTTTCATGCTGTCTTAGGTAAGAACTTTTGGTTAAGTCATCCAAATTCACTTTCCTTTGATTATTTTTGTAAAGCAGTTGTTTACTTTGATTTTTATTTGACTTGCTACCTAACCTATTTACCAAGATAGATTGTGGCTAACCAGATGATGTAGATTTTTGTCTTTGGCTCTGATAACTCTTTGAAATATATTAGCCCACAGTAACTGAAACAGCATGGTACTGGTACCAAAACAGACGTATAGACCAATGGAACAGAACAGAAGCCTCAGAAATAACTCCACACATTTACAACCATCTGATCTTTGACAAACCTGACACAAACAAGCAATGGAGAAAAGAATCCCTATTTAATAAATGGTGTTGGGAAAACTGGTTAGCCTATGCAGAAAACTGAAACTGGACCCCTTCCTTACACCTTATACAAAAATCAACTCAAGATGGATTAAAAACTTAAACATGAGACCTAAAATCATAAAAATCCTAGAAGAAAACCTAGGCAATACCATTCAGGACATAGGCATGGGCAAAGACTTCATGTCTAAAACACCAAAATCAATGGCAATAAAAGCCAAAATTGACAAATGGGATATAACTAAATTAGGGAGCTTCTGCACAGCAAAAAACACTATCATCAGAGTGAACAGGCAACCTACAGAATGGGAGAAAATTTTTGCAATCTGTCCATCTGACAAAGGGCTAATATCCATAATCTACAAAGAACTTAAATTTACAAGAAAAAAAAAACATCAAAAAGTGGGCAAAGGATATGAACAGACACTTCTCAAAAGAAGACATTTATGCAGCCAACAAACATATGAAAAAATGCTCATCATCACTGGTCATTAGAGAAATGTAAATCAAAACCACAATGCAATACCATCTCATTCCAGTTAGAACGGCGATCATTAAAAAGTTAGGAAACAAACAGATGCTGGAGAGGATGTGGAGAAATAGGAATGCTTTTACACTGTTGGTGGGAGTGTAAATTGGTTCAACCATTGTGGAAGACAGTGTGGTGATTCCTCAAGGATCTAGAACTAGAAATACCATTTGACCCAGCAATCCCATTACTGGGCATATACCCAAAGGATTATAAATCATTCTACTATAAAGACACATGCGCACGTATGTTTATTGTGGCACTGTTCACAATAGCAAAGACTTGAAACCAACCCAAATGTCCATCAATGATAGACTCAATAAAGAAAATGTGGCACATACACACCATGGAATACTGTGCAGGGACATGAATGAATTTCACACCATCATTCTCAGCAAACTAACACATGAACAGAAAACCAAACACTGCATGTTCTCACTTATAAGTGGGAGGTGCACAATGAGAACACATGGACACAGGGAGGGGAACATCACACACTGGGGCCTGTCAGGTGGTGGGGGGCTAGGGGAGGGACAGCATTAGGAGAAATACCTAATGTAGGTAACATGTTGATGGGTGCAGCAAACCACCATGGCACATGTATACCTATGCAACAAAACTGCACATTCTGCACATGTACCTCAGAACTTAAAGTATAATTTAAAAAAGAAAAAAAAAGAAATATATTAGCCCTTGAACCCTTCAAAGAAGGAAAACAGTTCCTCCAACTTCTCAACCTGTCTTAAATATTTCTGTTTCCCAACCAGTTCAGTACCTTTCTGTAAATAATACAAACACAATCTCTGTCAAACTTATGTAGTCTGGATGACTTTGATAGTGAGACTTATAGTATCTTTTGATGTATAAGTATTCATATACACATTTTATTTCTCATACCGTTTTATAAAGTGCTTCAGGGCAGAGATTTACGTCTTCTAATTTGTTTTATGCCTCATAAACCCAGAGAAGTATCTGGCACACAGAAAGTTGTATGTTGAATGCATTTGAGTTAAACTGAACTAATAAACTTCTTCATGTCCAAAATCTAGTACCTCAGGCAGGAGGTGTTGTCCTATTCTTCAGCATAAACAGACAGTTACAGTTTGCCTACTGAAGGGAAACTGTAGGGAAAAGACATTTATTTCTCTTCGGCAAGCTGTAAAAATCTAACCATCTGGCCCCATATCTCCCCCAATATGCTGTCCTGTTAAACTGAAATATTTTTCCCTTTGGGTCCATGAACCAGAAAAGCAGCATCCTTAATTGTAAGACAGGATGACTACCCTTTAGCCATCTTGGCCCTGACATTCCCCTTTTCTCTACAGAAGACTGTGCAAGATTTGAAGATAGAATTGAAAGCAAATGCAAGAGGTAAAGTGACTAGGCTCTGTCAATTAGTTATTTTAGTTTCTATTGAGGAAATAACTTGTTGGTCAGGATTTACTTAAACTGGGCATAAAATTATAATTATTCTTAATAAAAGAGGCATATATTAATATT